TAAGTTATGAGATTGATTTTGATGATGGATTCACAGGTATATACTTATCTCTGAACACATCAAATTGTAAATATTAAACACCTGCAAGTCAGTTATACCCTAATATAGCAAAATAAAATTAATAACTGTAAAAATACATATATTTGCTTTCAGAATCTGTGATTGGTTTAATGTGGCATGAGAGAGCTCACAGTATGGTGCCTGGCACAAAACAAACGCTCATCATGTGTCTGCAAGTGTACAGTCATGTTGATGAAATCTCAAACCTTTCATTTCACAGTTAAAACATTTCAACTTGCATGTATTTAAGAAAAGGAAAAGGCAGCATCTAGTGTAAAATTACAAATATGTCCTTTTCAGCAAATCAAAAATTCATGGAAATATTCAACTATATGCCTATAAATGAAAGGTCCAGAATAAGGTAACAAAATTAATCAGAACCTACATTACCTTTGCCAAGACCATTAAATATCAAATCTCCTCTTTGCAACTCCTATAAACAAAAGATTTGTCCCCTCTTTTTAAGAAGCTTTAATTATTGCAAGTATTAACCCCCACCCTTTCCATTTGCTTCTCTTAGGAAACTACACATTAAATGTGAGACAACATAACCTGAAGATTTCTACCTACATTTATTAGGATATCAAACTTAAAACATTTCAAAATGACAACTAAACATAGCATTTGATGCTGGACAAAGATAGGTCCCTCAGGGATCCACTGAATCGATACACTTACTTATTAGGATATCAAACTTAAAACATTTCAAAATGACAACTAAACATAGCATTTGATGCTGGCCAAAGATAGGTCCCTCAGGGATCCACTGAATCGATACACTTAACATTATCTAAGAAAATGCCTCAGCTATATCTTAAGTGTGTTCTAGAAAATGGAATGGGTAGGGTTGCCTGAGAGGTGGGGAGGAACAGTGATTGTGTATTTTGGAAAAAGATCATTGTGAAACAGACCTCCTTCTCTTCTACAGTATATGACAGGCAACTAGTCTCACAGCTAGACTATAACAAAGCAAAACAAAACCAGAAAGAAGGAAAGAAAGGAACAAAGATAGAAAGATTTTCACTCCTGTAGTTCAAGAATATAAATCACTCAACATACGAGAAGGGTATAACAACTAGATTGGAATTCACCAAAAGTTGTAGGGAATAAAAACAGTTAAGTGGTGACAATTCACTTATTTAACCACACTGTGACAGGCAAAGAGGAATCACAGTCTGCCACATAGACTCAGATTCCTGGCCAAGAAAACACAAGTCAACATTTTTTTGCATCCTGTAAAACTTTTCCTTAATGAGGGCCAAAGTTAGGTGATTCCAATTACAGAAGAGCTGAAGAAATGTGGTCTGACAAGAACTGAAGTTTCAGCTAAACAACTGTGAATTTTATGCTCCAGTATGTTTAAACTTCCTCTAAATGTTAAAGCTGACCAGATTTCTCAAGTTTCCCTTCAGAGGAAGATTAGACCACAAGTGACAGTTATATTGTAACTGTGCATGTAACTCCAAACAATGAAAGCTAGTAAAGTAACAAGTGAGAGCTAGCTTTCAATCCTTCACAGTGCTCTCAGTGAGACAGCAGTGTCAGTTAGGAAGAAGTATTTGCATAATGTGCCCAACAATGACTTTCCTATGTCACCGTGTACTACACTATCAGATACATGCTATATATGACATTTCATATATATTACATATAAATCCATATTTATATATCATTTATATTCAACATTAATTTCCATATGCATTATATATACACACACCAATGTTGCAACATTATATAAATCTATAATATTATATATAACATTGAGAAGCACTAGCCAAGTGAAAACTAACTTGAAGGTTAATATTAATAAACCATTAAGATCCACGGGTTCCGACATGTGGAGGAAACAAACTGTCCTTTAATCACCTCTTCTCAGCCTGTTTTTCTGACGAGGTTCTTTTGCTGTAAGGAAGAATAACTCACACATCTGCTTCACTCTCTTTCGGGTTACTGGGTCTATTTCCTGAGAGAGGAAAAACTTGCTTGTTTAACTCATTTTGCCATATCGGACTGCATTGCAGGTCACTGGGGAACCAGGGGGTCATCTGCCTTTGGTTCCAGGGTGCCCTCCTAGCTGACCAGGAGTAAGCAGCGTCCAGCATGCAGTATAAACATTACCACCCACAGGCCCTGCCAGTGTGGCACAGTTGCGTTAAGAGCACTGGGTCACTGGGCTGACAGATCATTTGGGGTAAAATCCCAACTTCTCCACTAGCTGTGTGACCTTGGGCCATCACTTAAATAAACTTAATTTCTTTATCTTTACAATAGGTGTGATAATAAGTCCAATGTCATAAAGTTCTTATGAAATGTAACAAGTTACTGTAGTAAAATGTTAGCACAGCACCTGGCACATAATATGTGTTGAACACACAAATATAGGTATAAACCCAGCTTTGTGTTTATATATGTATGTGTATAAAGGGGTACTTCTAAAAGTTCATGGAAAAATAGAATTAAAAAATATTACTCTTTCCATGAACTTTGTGAAGTACCCTCATACATATATGTACATATATATGCTTATATATGTATTTCTTTAAAGTTTTCATACATAGTAAGCATTTTTCCCATCAATATTTTTTATTTTCTTTGTTGTCTATCTTTTGGAACATGCACCGTACTTCTAGGTATTTAGAAAATGCATACTTTATAGTTTTATTCTTCTGGCAATTACTCTTTAAGTTAACCAAAATGAATTATGTTTTAACCTATGCCTTTCTATTTACAAATCTTAAGAATGAAAAGCAATTTTTAAGTCCTATGTGACACAACAGGTTTAGTATATCTTTTCTCTGCTCTTACCATAAAAGTCTCTCAATTGCCTTATGCCTTTCTATTTACAAATCTTAAGAATGAAAAGCAATTTTTAAGTCCTATGTGACACAATAGGTTTAGTATATCTTTTCTCTGCTCTTCCCATAAAAGTCTCTCAATTGCCTTCCACATGTAAGGAGGCAGCTCATTAAGTTCTTAAATCACCATCTTTCCTCCTGAACACTCTATGGAATTGATCTAGTATCTTTCGGCATTTACTGCTACAAAGGAAGTCAATTTTGTTCCTTGGTAGTAAATTTCTTGCCAGATATTTTGGCAAGGTACTTTAGTATTATTCTTATAATTTTTTCAAAATGCCAAAACATATATACAGGTGGCCTTTCAATGACTTAACATGAAAAATGTAGAGACCACTTTCAAATCTGCACACACCTATGAAAGCTTTTTTTTTACGTTGTCCTTTTCCACTTGATATAATTTCGTGTTTACCAACCCTTATAATTTATGTTAGATATTCTCTCTATATTTCTACCATCCTCTCCCTCATTTTTCATCTTTTTTTTTTTTTGTTCTGGAAGAGCTTTTTCTGTATTTCTCCTTCACAACACAGAATTTATTTTTAGCTTTGCTGATTCTACTCTTTACCACCTCTGCTATGAATGTTAATGTGCTATTAAATTTTTAATTCTTTAACATTGTACATTGTTTCACTCCCATTTGGCCCCATCTATTGTCTTTTCAACTCATACTCATCTAACTGCTTTCTGCCTCTTCCATGAAGGCCCTGTCTTCTTGAAATAATCGCTTTTGGAGGTCTACCCTTCTTTCCAATCTTCAATACGATCTCCCCTCTCCTTTATGGAGCAAAATTTTTCAGTAGGCTCATTAAGGTTTTTCCCATTCATCACAAAACAAGGAGAGAGATCTATCCAGACCTGGTATTTCCTCTGAACCTACTCTGCATCCACTTGGGTGCTGGTTTCAGACCTAATGTTAGTTGGCAGGTTAAGATGAACAGTTCCCAGGCCAATTCTCAAAGTGGTTTTCATTTCAACATGGTTTTGCTAGCCTGAGAGAAAAACGTTCTCTCCCTGCCTTCACTGCCTGACTTTGTAATGCTATGAATGACTGCCCAGAGCACTCAAGCCTCGGTTCACACAGGTCTTTCCAACTCAACCTCACCTTCAACACTTTACTTTTGTGGAGTAACATTCTCAGGGCATGACAGTAATAGCCCCTATCCCACTCTCCCAGGTCTGGCTCTTTATCTTCTGAATTGTGGCCTTCCACTGAAAAGAAAGGCACTGTTGGGGACATAAGGGACAGGATGGGAAGAACATTCTAGGGACAGCTGCTTTAGGCCCTTTCTGAATTATGGGCAGAGAGTAAGGGAGGACATGGGTCTGCCTAGCTATTTTTAGGTGGTCAAAACTTTTTCTATTGTGTTTTTAAACCTGGTTTTGTTGAGTTTACAGTAGACATTTCTCCCCGCTAGTTCTAGTTTTTCTAAGTGTCTGAGTGTGTTTGTTTTCTGTCTTCTTAGAGACTGTAGTAAGAGGCTCTCTTGGTGACTCTCAAGAGGCTGTCAGAACTACTAGTCAGAGGCCTTTTTAATTCAGTTAACTCTTAAATAAGTTTCTTTTTCAATTGGAAAAAAAAAAAAGCAAAACTAGAGCAACCAAGAAGTTTTACTGGCACTCGCTGCCTTTGAGAGACTACATCTGACCAATGTCTCATTGTTCTTTTAACATCTAGAAATAAAATTCACCTGTACTTTTCACTGGCCCTCATCTACCCTTCTGTCCCTGGAATTCAGGTAAGCTAAACATAATGTTTATGTTATAAACGTGGCAGTGGCCAACTTTCCTGAGAAATAAGGTTTGACATTCAAAGCAATTTAGTAATTTGCTCAGTCTTTTAAAATGGCATTTGCTGCTGACCTTGACATAATTCAGGTACAAGATTTCACATTCATTTGTGTCAACTGAAGATTTCTAGTATTTATGAATTTCAAGCATCCACTATCCACATGCCAAGACACAATTCTTATTCTGGATACCCTCAGGTTTTTGGCTTTTATGCAGTTAATGACCATCCTGTGCTCCATTTTAATCAAAATGATATAATTATGAGTCAGAAATAAAAAATCTGAAACTCAGGGAAACATTTGAGGCAGAGTTTTAATTTCTTCAGAAATAACAGAAATGAAAGATAAATGTATGTATCAATGGTATATAACTTTTGAGTTATCTGATTGAGGTATCTTTCCTCCTAAAAAAAAAAACAAAAAAAGTTGTACATACACACATATACCCAAAATTTGGTCTTAGTTTCACAGCCTTATCAGTCTCTTTGTAATTCAACCCTTTAATAATTTATTTACCAGACATAAGAAAGTGTTGTGGGTCATATGTAGAGTGAAGGTAACTTTTTTCTGGTTGTATGAATGTAATAAGCTAACGAAACTTAACAGATAAAACAGACTTAATAGAATTCAGTTACTGATAACTTCTCAAAGTACTGCTTAACAAGATCCACATGAATGTCCTGTCCTGTCCTGTCCTGCCCTGACCCCAGGTGTTCTTGAAACCTGTGAATGTCCCTTAATTAGGGCATTTCCTTTCTTTTTAAATATTTATGCAGTCATCTCATCTTCAGTTTCTTAATGTTGAAAATGGTTATAATATGCCATCTCTGCAGGGTGGTTGTGAGAACCAAGTGAAAAATGCCTATAAAATGCCTCTCAGAATGCTTGGCAAACAGTAAGTCTGCAAACTTAAGGTTCATTTTGAAAAAGGTATTTTTGACACAAATAGATCCATGAGAAAGTGTGGGACAGTAACTATACTATATACATTGATATGTTCTAACCAAGTTTATTATATTTCATTCTGGTATTCACTTGATATTTAATATTATCTAGCAGTAACATCATCTTGCTCTAACCTCTCTGAATATGTCTCCTTCAAAAGTGAAAAATTTACGTTTTGCTACCTGAGAGAATGTGGTAAGACTTAAGTTAGTTAACAATGTTGTAAAATGCTCTGAAATTATAAATAAATAATGACACGAATATTCAAATATGTTTCTATAGTTAGGACACAGGGATAAAAAGAAATGTTTCAAATGAAATGTTTCCTGATAAAGCAGCAACATTCTTAAACACTAAAAATTATTTTTAAAAAAGAGGATAAAAATAAAACCAGCAGTGCTTAATGCAGATACATAATAGTTAAAAAGTTAATATTTTATTATTACAATATCTAATATCATGAAAATTAATATTTTATCAACACCTTTAAGTTATTGTGAATACTGCATTTTACCAAACACTAGTAGTAGCAAGTGGAAACCAATGCTGACTTCTTCCTGCTGTGGCGCTGGTTCCAAGTGCTGAGTCTAAGAGCATCAGGCCAGTTTTCTTCTTCCGAGACAAGCTTGGAAGACACTGATAACCACCCTGGACAGTCACACACTGGCTTCACAATGCAGCCTTGCCTAATGCCTGTGCTAACGTGTTACCTCGTAGGTAAATTTGAAAAGGTCTGAATAAACAAAACTTTATAACCTGAATAAACAAATGTTATAACCATCACCTTCTACTTACCTTGGAAAAGTTAACAAAAAACCCACTACACAAATCCCTAGGATCTCCGACTGTATATCATGTCAACAAAGTTAGTTATGCTGCACAAATACAGTACAAAGGAGGCAGTCCATGAATCTTTTAATTCACTAATGCACTGTAACGTACCACTACACAAATCCCTAGGATCTCCGACTGTATATCATGTCAACAAAGTTAGTTATGCTGCCCAAATACAGTACAAAGGAGGCAGTCCATTTATCTTTTAATTCACTAATGCACTGTAACGTGTGAAACTGGAAGAGTCTCAGACCAATTTAACTTTTTCTTTTTTGGCAGCTGGCTGGTACAGGGATAGAACTCTGGACACCCTGGTGTTATCAGCACCATGCTCTAACCAACTGAGCTAACCAGCCAGCCCTCAAACCAATTTAGATGTCAGCAATTGCTGAGTACCCACCACTAGAGGTAGAGTATAAATTTTCACACTGGTGAAATATATATTAAAACTGTACACTATGAAGATCTGAAATATCTTGGTACGGATTGGGCACTTCCATTAGCAATAATATCATACCACAAACCAGCCTCTAATCAGACCTTGCAAATGAAGTGATGTGAGCACATCCTCCCAACCACCCTAGCTTGTTTCCCCTATATAAATCCTCTCATTACGTTCCTTACTTCCCATATACAGGGCTTCTGGGTTGAATTACTGGAGATACACTACTAGTGAGAACTTAAACTTTTCTGGGTTCTATTTCTCTATCAATTCTTATGAGTAAGAATCAAGAGGTTTAAACAAAAACACAGCCAAAACTCGGAAGAGGCAGCCTCTAACCTTTCATTTTACAATTAGAGAACACTAAGATTAGAAGGGCTAAAGAGTTCACAGGAAGCAAAGTGGAGTGGAATTTCTGACTCAAATAATATATCAGAGATTCATATTTCACTTATGCCTATATTCTTTACTATCCTGGATATGAGATTTGATCATCAAATTACAAATAGTCTCCTGCAATACACTAATAAATTCACAGTCAGAACTTCAATATGCATGAAACTTTGAAAGGATCATCTATAAGCATTGCATAATACATGCTACAAACTGAGAATAGACAAACATGAATACAAACATACCGCAAACACCTCCAAGCGAGAACTACTAGAGAAGGCACTCCTGAAAGTGACAGCCACAATTTAGGTGGCATCAAGCCGATGGAAGAAAGTTCTGCATACGTAGTTAAACAGAAAGCTCTTCTGCTTGTTTTGTTTTTAATTGTAAAGTTTATTTTAACAATGTATATTATGTTATACATTATATAACAATGTATATTATGTTTTGTTTTAATTGCAATGTTATTTTAATAACATTTCTACTATGATAATCCCATGTACTATGTGAGGGTACTTCAAAAAATTCATGGAAAAACAGAACTAAAAAATAATACAAACCTTTCCACAAACTTTTTGAAGAACCCTCATACATATAGTGCATGAAATTATCACAGTAAAAACAACATATCATGGTTCTTTACATAAATTGGTAAGCAGGAATAACATTTATAAAATGTTCTGAATAATATTTTGTTAAACAACTTGACATTTTAGGGAAATTGTACACAAATAATTGAAATAAAGCCAATTTCTAGTTCACTTTGTCCTCTTTTTGGATTAGTTTTATTGAATGCCTAAGGACTGTTTTCATATTGGATGCTACAAATTCAATCAAGATCTCAAAACATTAAGATATACTCTGTCATGTAATTAAGCTTCTCATTTCTAGCTGTCACACCAAGTTATTTTTCTGTCTCAGCCTTCAGACCAATTTTATGTCCTTCCCCATGAAAATCTGTTGCAACAAAGATACACTCATATGCAATAGCCAGCTGTACTGCTAACATCTTTTTTTTTGTTTGCTTGTTTTTTACTAAACAAAACATGAATATATAAACGGCATCACATACTTGGCATTCTTATCTGTCATAGGTACAAAATTCTCTTTTTGGCTGCTACTTAGCAGATGTAAGGCACCATATGTTGTTGAATGTCAGAATTTCTAATGTTTATTTTCTCAAACTCAGACTTACTAAAGAAATGCCTACTAATCAGAATTTCTATTGTTCCAGACAAAGATACCTTCACCTAGAAAGCAGAAAAGACTAACATCAAACTTATCAAAGAATCTATTGACAACTAAGCTACAAAAGAAACACTCTTAGCCTAAAGAGCTCTACTTCTACGATGAAGAAAATTTTATGAGAACATCAACATTAACTGTGTTGCTAGGAAACAAAAGAGCCTCCATCCACTCAAGTAACTTCTGTTCCAATCAGAGGTGTGAGGGCTTTATTTAGGCTGTACGGACACTGGACCCTTTACCCATTTTGGAAAAAAGAACACAGAAAGAAGTGTCTAAAGCCAGAAGCTTTAATGAGAGCATATGAACAATTATCTCACTTAAGTGAGAAAACATGACTTGCCTATCAGCCTGTGATTCTAAAGGACTCTGGTCATCTGGCAGAAAGCTTCTCCTCAAACAGCAGTAACCCTGAAGACTGTAACCACAGCTCCAGGAAAGAACATCTACTCATTCTTTTCAAATAATAGACTGGGAGAAGGAGGAATAACTTCCTCCCTTCTCTGGGAATACCAAGGGCAGTCCGCTACTCATCAGTCTCTCAGGGTCTGCCTGAAAATTCCTAACACGGCCACGTCAGTTCAGGGACAGAACCCTCCTGCTAAAAAGCAATAAAGGTGCTTTTCTCTTAATGTCAATTTCCTTTTCAAATAACCATGGATATACAAATTGTTAATGAGAGTTATTTCTTTCCTCTTACACATTTCTGGGGAAAAAAGTAACTAAATTTAAAATTAACAATAAAAAATATTTTAACTAATCAGGGGCCAGCCCGTGGCTCACTCGGTAGAGTGCGGTGCTGGAAAAAAAAAAATTTAACTAATCAAGAGTTTAGTAGCAAGAATATAAACGCTGGTGCTCATGAGAGGGAAAACTGTGCTATAACATGTAACTTAATACATCAGTAATATACAGTATTCCACGATCACAAGAGAAGTGATTAGGCTCATCTGATTTCACCAAAAATAATTATGACATTTATTTTTTTCCAGATTCACTCTTTAATCAATTATATTGATTATATCTTTTAGAAACATATTTCCTTTCCTACTAAAACACAGAAGGCTTAATACATCAGTAATATACAGTATTCCACGATCACAAGAGAAGTGATTAGGCTCATCTGACTTCACCAAAAATAATTATGACATTTATTTTTTTCCAGATTCACTCTTTAATCAATTATATTGATTATATCTTTTAGAAATATATTTCCTTTCCTACTAAAACACAGAAGGAAACACTTCACTTTTCATTCCTGGGTAAAAATCTCTATAGTGTACTGATGAACCTTTCTGGTGGGTCAGAAGTTAAAAACAGGGCTCAAAAGTCCTTGTCTTCAAAAATCCTGTAACTGGCCCTACTTTCTCACAAAAGCAGAGTGGTTAGCGGATGCAGAACAGGCAATCAGCATCCCAAGTCAGACATTTTACCCCAGCACTCGGGGGTTAACAAGACAGTCTTCCAACTTTGCAGCTACATCTCACTTAAGTAGAAGAGAAGACAGAGAAAGTTATGAGAAGGCATATGCTGAGATAAAACAGAGTCCGTAAAGGCAGGAATTAGTGATCAAAGCAAATTATTTGCATGGGCACTATTTCTGTTGCCTCAAGGAGACAGCCATGTGCTATGACCGCTGGGCTCAGCAAAGATGTGTAATTTGGGATAAGGTTGCTATTTTCTGTGACCTCTGTACAGTGTAGTCAATTTATGTGATTTATTACAACCTTGCATTTTAGACAGGAGTGACAACTGTGGAGGGACACTTGAATGGTGAGTGTGAAAAATGTAAAAATAATAGGAAAACAAACACAAATTGCAGGCTTGTTTTCTGTTTCTGTTTAGAAGGGATTTTGATCAAAATTTAATATAGGCCAAATGGGTACTTTATATTTTATATGTGAAACCAGCTGGGGCCCACAGTCAGAGCCTGCAGTGGGGGGCGGGGATAGGTGTGTGCGTCAGGGATAGAGGGAGGTATTAACTCAAACTAATAAGCAATCTCTCAAGTTAGATTTCAATACTCTACAACAAACTAACATGGTCCCAGAATCTCACTAGTCTAAATATTCTGCATTAGTCTTACTTTAATTAAAGGATCTCAAAGTGCATGTTAAAACCACTGTCTCGAGATATAGCCCCACTGGGTACCTTACTTATGAAAGAGAAGAATAGATTTTTATTCCCCTATCCTTAAATCCCCACCTCCAATTGACCCATTTCCTCAGATCCTGGTTGAATGGGGCTTTGTGTTGGAGAATGGAATGCCAGCATCTGCACAGCCTAAGGCAGAAAGAGCCCAGGGATGGCCTCTCAACAGCAGCCTCTCCTAAGAAGTATAACAACCACTGCATACCCATCACACCCTTCGCCTGAACAAAACATGGAAGAGATTCTCTCCAAAGATGGTAAAATGGGGCTTTACTGGGCTGTGGGAAAATGAAACAATATGATCCTCATATAGGCAATTTTGGCCCCCTTACAAAAGGAAGGAGTTAAAAAGAGGTACAGATTTTGTTCCCCAAGGCCACACGCCGATCATGACACACCTGCCACTCACTTGGCTTAAGTTACTATACGCATTATCCACTTAACCCACATTCCTACCAGTGGAACTACCTGTCAGAGTTCTGGAGCCATAGCAGGCAATGGTTAAGGCCAAGGCTACAGGATGCCTCAGATGTGAATGATGTGACTAACAAGCTGTTATTTCCCAAAGCAGGACACACTGTTAAGCCTTGTATACCTGCACATGACATACAAATCACAGGGCTAATCTCAAAAGCTCTGCAGAATGTGAAATGGTGAGATGATGAGCTTCAGACAGCACATGTTCACTGCCTTGCTGGGAACCTACTGCACTGTTCCACATACTTGGGACAATGGGACCCCTGCCCTCCTGGAGCTTACAATCTAACAGAGGGAGCAGACATTAAACAATAAACACAGCATGTAAATTATAAATAGGTTAGATAATAAATACTTTGGAAAAGCACAGGGGCAGGTTGCAAGTAGCGTCCTAAAAAGCTATATGCAAAACATTGGTGGAAAGTACTTTCTCCCAACAGGTGCTATATATCAGATTTTCTTTGTTTTTTTTTTAAAGATGACCAGTAAGGGGATATTAACTCTTGACTTGGTGTTGTCAGCACCACGCTCTCCCAAGTGAGCAAACCAGCCATCTCTATATAGGGATCCAAACCCGTGGCCTTGGTGTTATCAGCACCGCACTCTCCCAAGTGAGCCACGGGTTTTTGACTCTCTTTTTCCCTAAAAGTTAAACTTCACAACTTTATTTCCAGGAACACACAAGGAAAATGGAAAAGTGGGTTCTATTATATAGGGAGGAGCCTGTCACACAGAGTCTACTTTTGGCCAGAGTCTAATGACAACTTTCTTTTAAAGACAGAAAGTAGCAAGGCTGGCAGGATGCAAAAGACACGTGATTAGCACGCAGGCAGGTCCAGGCACCCTCTATTTACACTGCTGCCCTCTAATGAGGTGTGCCAGTGGTCTACAAAAGAGAACTGTTTGTGGTTCTTAGACTTTGGGGGCAGCCTTCTAAATCAAATAAAGATAGCCAAACACGAAAAACAGGCTAAGTCAGGTGGCGGGGAGTAAAAAGAAAAAAAGGGCTAAAGAATTCAATTACAGTAAGAAAAGAGCCATCCTTTCTGGCCTTCACATAATTTGTCACTGCCAAATCTTTTCAAATAAATATGCACTTAGGCAAAAGAAACCAGTCTCACAGGCTCCAACACAAACCACTTGTCCTTACAATGGCTTTCCATATATATTTACCATGAAACTCATAGGAACTATTGAATTCTCACTTCATAGGAATCATATTTAAATTAGAACATAAGACTAACATTTCTAGGAAATCTAATGTTCAGTATTATACTTCCCACATAACACCCCCCTTACACTGCCTTTTCAACCTTTTAGTTATTCCTAATTTCTCATTTATATTCAGGCTCTTGCTTTCTAATACTTTCATGCACATTATCATGGGTTTCTTTCTTGAATTCTGCTAAAAATCTTCATTTTTACTCTACCTTTCCATGTATAAAAGAAAAAGAAAAAGCTGTTAAAAATCTCAATTGTCATCACATTACATGAAAGAGAAAAATCATTCTTCCTGTAGGAAAGACTTGCTTTTCTGTATATAATATCCAAACAAGGGCCGAGCCCCTGGGGCACTTGGGAGAGTGCGGCGCTGGGAGCTCCTGCCGCGGGTTTGGATCCTATGTAGGGATGACCGGTGCACTCACAGCACTCACTGGCTGAGCACGGTGCGGACGGTCTCAAAAAGGACAAAAAATAAAATAAAATAAAATAAATAATAATAATAATAATAATAATAATAATATCCAAACAAACTGACACGTGATGGCAATTATCAAGTGAAAGTTTGTTTAGAACCAATTTTTATAAAATCTTTTTATCACTAATCTTGCAAGGTACTCTTATTCCACCTTTTAATTAATCTTCTCTAAATAACTGAGATTTTTGTATGAGGACAAATTAAATAACTTTTCCTTTTGAAATTAGCCTTCTTAAGGAAGTGCTTCTAACTAAAAAAAACCAAAATGTCAAGTTAAAAATATGTAATTTGGTGGAGAAAAAACAGTTATGTATGTTTTCAACCTGCTAGGTAAAACTACAAGAAACACAATGGTTGACAAAATCACATACACATGTGCAGTCAAGGTTTTTGATTCACCTACAAAGAAAAATTAACTTTTGCTTTTGAACAGTAAAGGATATTATTTGAACACTATTTATAAATTATGGTATAATGTTTACTAAATAAGTTTCCCTTTGGGGCTTGGTGGAGATAAAAGGGCTTCTCTTCACTTATCCTTAGTAAATTCCTTGACTTTTACATAATATTCCCAATCCTATTGTTACCTAATACAGAAAGGCAACTCTTACCACTTGCATTCTGCTTCATCACTCTCATTATCTCATTCACTTATGTTCAGATAAGCCAGTGTTAAAGAAGGCATAACACATTATTTATCAGAATCTCTTCCAGAAATACCCTGTGTTGCCAGTCAGTTTTACTCAATATGTAACCACTGTAGTTAGGCCCACCCATTTTAAACACAGCCTCCTGATCCTTCCTTAGTCCCTAGAGGGGGAAAAAAACATACAAGCAAGAAATGATTGAGATTTACTAGTAATTAAGCAGTATTTGACAAAGCTAGCAACAGCAAAATTGAGCAGAAGGCTTGTCTCTATGATACTGAACAGAAGAAAAACCTTAAAGAGACAGTTGTGCATGAAGCTCCAGTGTGGACTATCTCCAATAAGCTATAAGAGGTTTTGAATGAAGGTGGTTTCCACTTAAGAAAAGTATTCAGTGTATTTTTTCCCCTCATGAAGGCCAACCCATAGGCATCCATGCTACAAATGACACTGCCCGTGGGGGAAGAGAAATCCCTTTACTTTTATACTAACTATAGGATTGGGTTTCAGCTTCAGCCAGTGTTCCTGGTGAGGAAACCAAGAGGTAGATACCGGGTTATAAAAACAATGGTTTCTTCTCTGCTGAGTTCTGTGGTCATTTTACTGCTCCCCACATTTTTCCATACAAATCATATTAACATTAAATATACTTATATTAGACTTACCCTCTACTTTCCCAAAATGATTATTTAGATATATAATACCAATTACAAGAATAAGAATGCAAGAGATACTTAATCCAAAGGCAACTATAATGATAGTGGTTGAGGATGCTCACTAAACAGGTTCTCAGATATCATCTCCCTATTTCTACAACAACCCCCAAACCCACAAACGCAAATTTCTAGCTGTGTAATGACTGATCAAACTTTCATGCACCATATATCAATTCAGGTAAAGTTGCCAAGATGACTTCTGCCCAGAGCATAACAGCCCAATCCAAACCTAAGACGTTTTCTTTATAAAAAAGAAAAAAGAAAAAAAAAAGTCATTAAACCATCTCTCATTAATACTGACCTTGTTGTTCACTGTCCGCTTCAGTTTTCGAAAAACCAGGTGCAACAGGAAGGGGCCGAGGTGGCCGGGGCTTTGGTGTGGGAGGCGAGATTTTTTTCCTTCCAATATATTCTACATAAGTTCCCGGAAAGTCCCCCCTCTCCCCCGTGGTTTCATTATAGCCATTGAGCCAGCCAATTTCTTCAGGCCTGGCTTCCTGTCCCTCACTGAATCCAAGCGCTACTAAGGACCCTTTATTCACAGTCAATATGTCACCCAAGTGCAAGTCAATATCTTCTTCTCTTTCCTTTTTGTAATCATACAGTGCTCTGTACTGGTACCCCTCGGCACTCATGTTTGCAAATCTGTTACCATGCAATAGAAGAGTCTGGCTGTGCACTGCAGTCTAACTTTACGTTTTTATAAAGAGAGAATTCAGAGAGTGTGTTAAAACTCCTAATATGTGTCCAGCAGGGGACAAAAGACCACTCTCCAAAGGTTTAAGAGGAGAGGTGACTGGTTGTCCGGCTGTCCATCTGTCCTCCATCAATGGTGTAGCTGAAGACAGGGCCCCACTTCTTCCACGTGCCACAGTCCTCGCAATGGCTTCCTTTTCAGCAACTTGTCAACACTTTGACTCCAGGCTGACTCTCACATCGAGGACCAATCCTTTCTGACACTCTTGTCACACTGCCCATCTGTCGTCTGATTTTACTGTTGCGCTCCACACGTGAGCTGCACCTACCAAAGGAAAAATAAGACTTATGAATGAACATCACACTTTGCCATCTGTGTGAATCTGAATTTCTACTTCCATTCAACAAGTCCTTAATCAATTTGGCAGATGTTCACAGGCCAGTGTGCTTTTGCTTGACACAGTATACACAACAAAGATTACTAAGACCGTCCCTGCCTTCTAAGAACACTAGGTGGGGGCGGGAGGAGTGTTGGCACGAGGCAATGTCTCAGAGATAAGATTGGTACATAAGGAATCATAACACTAGGTAAATGCCATAAGAGGCAGAAACTAAATACTACAGGGTTCTAAAGAGGGAAAGACCATATCTACTGCAGGAATATGACAAGAGAATGGAATGTGTGGCATGATCCTAGGTAGGGAAGTGACTAAGCAAATGTCATATTCTGGGAAGAGCTAGAACAGGCAGTCCGATCCATCTGGAGCCAGAGGGAGCAGTGGGTTCCGTGTTAGAAAGATAGGCAGGTGCCGTATGACATCGCACATGCCTGTGATTGTAATTCAGTCCACAACGGAGAGCATCGAAAGGGCTTGGAGAAAGGGGAGCAACCAGATCAGAACTGCACTTGAGGAATCTCAGTCTTACCATGGTGCGTGGGAGAGATTGGCAGAGGGAGAGAACAGAAGTGAGGAAAGCTGAGAAAGGTGCCTTGCAGCGGTCTGGGCAAGTGGCCACCAGGCACAAACCAATGTGCCAGCAGCAGGAGTGGAAAGGGGAGGACTGAATTAAGAGACATTGCACAGAGACAATGAGTGGGATATGGCATGTGCTTAAATGCAGGGCGAGAAAGAGAAAGAGGAGCCAAGGGTGCCTGATCCTGAACTAATGAGAATAATTTTTTGTACCAATATCAGGCAAAGGGAAGCCAGGAGACCAGATACTGGGCATCCACATGCAAGAGAGCCAGTAGCTGGCTGCAACCTGCTCTGTGATTCAGGAGAGGAACACACTAGAGACTTGCTAATGAGCCACAAACAAGGCAAGCTGAACTCAATGGAATAGAGGAGCTCACGAGGAAAAAAAAAATAAGTTAAAAAAATGATCCAAGGACAAAACGTTGAGGTTCAATGAATCCAACTGAGAATAGAAAGTCAAGGTTTAAAGACAATGCATTGTCCTGGAAACGGGATAAAAGGGTTCAGGAAAGAAAAGTTGATCCCTAAGACCAAATCTTGCAGTGGCTTGCAGATGAGGGAGACTGAGTCAAGGCTAGATAATTTGGGGCTCTGCCTGACGTGCAATCATCACTGACTTTTGAGGAAGCAGATTCCAGTCCAGTAGTGAGGATAATAATTAGACCTTAAGCAGTTAAGAAATGAGAGAGGAAGAAGAAATGGTTGCCACAGATTATAAAGATAGCTTAGTGGAGGAGGAAATGGGTAATGAAAGTGTTTTCCTTTTTCTTTTTTCTTTTTAAACATGATAGAGGCAGAAGAATTAAAGCATCAGACTCTCTAAGTTAGAGAGTTAGTAAGTCAGAGTGGATGTCTGATAAGACAGTGTGCAAACATATACACTTTGCAGTCCATTCATTTCTCAGTGTTATCTTTTGAGTAAAAGCAACCTAAAGGTTTCAGTTAAGCTGGCTGCACAATAAAGCAATAAAAATAAAAGTCACATGATTTCAGTGTGCTATATCAAAGAGAGCTTTTATATGTTCTGAAGAATGGAACACTTTAGAAGTTTAATATTACAGGCACTCTTCAGTGTAGGCATCTTAAGCAAAATCTAATCATAGATTAATTGTTATGTTGGCATTCAGAAGTGTAAAATATTCAACTTTACATGGTTAAAGCCGCTTAGCTGTAATACAATAAACACTCTTAGGCGAGTTACTTATTAAAAGAAGCAAAAACAAACACTGGAAGTCTTTGTGTAGCAAGAATATTAATTTGGGATAGTGCTCTACTTTGCATTTCAGTTGTCAGAGAAAAAATTAAATCAATAGCAGAGTATGTGAGAAAAATGAGCTGTATTATTTGTTTGAAGAAAGCCTCTCCTTTTGAAAGTATGAGAATCAAATTAAATGTTCACTGCAGAAATTCGCACAAAAATGTAGAACCAGCAAATCTCATTTTTAGTACTAATGTACTCTGTACAAAAGAGATACAGAACTCTAAAGAGCATGAAAATTTACATATCTCTAAATGCTTAGAAAATCAGGCAATATGCCTAAGAATAATTTAATTCTTCCAAGTCTGTCTCGAAATTTTTGTTGGCTTTTCCTGACAATGTATGTCTTTTTGAGAAAAAAAAAAAATCCTGAACCAGTAGGCTGGGTACATCTTTATGCCAGCTGCTGCTTAGCACTTCTACTATTTCAACCACCCAGTGGGCCAGTTTGGTGAAATTCTTAAGAGAATGGGAAGTATGATCTCTCTCCTCTCTCTCCCCCCCCCCCAATCCCCTAACAAACATCAAGCAGGCCCCTGCTCACAGCATACCTAAGTAGCTATGCACATTCCATACCTAGCGGGGGACACTGTTCTAAGCAAAGACCCCACATCTTGTCAGGGTCTTACAAACCTGAAAACTGTGCCTGACTCTACCTAAGGCTAAATCTGTGCAAAGGCAAAAACAACCTTAAGGAACCTGATGACTTTAAAGGGGCTAGACTCCAGAGAAGCAATCCCCAACCAAACTGTTAGAGACCCTAAAGGTCCCTACAAATTCTCTCTCCTTTGCCACCTGTAAGAAGGACTTTATTTCCTATATAAGAAGAACCCTATGCAAAACTTTGGGTGCTCGTCTGATAAAAGAACCCCAAATTTTCTATGACTCCGGGATTGTAAGTAGAACACACCATTCCTGTCTTCTGAGACTCCATAATCAAGGCCAGGAAGACAGATGCAGACAGAACAGGTTAAACAATTCAAGGTCAGCCATGATTCAGTGTCAAGTAAGTGGTTTGAGAGCAATACTGTAAAAGAAGAGGGAGAGCAGACAAGTCACGTGGGTGGGGACTGGATTGTGTGTGGCAAAGTTCAAAAAGACCTAAGCCAGGCAGTGGAGGCAGGCATCTCTACCCTACTGTACACCTTTCTCCTGACTGCTACACCCACTTTAATGTCAGTCATTGTCATCGTCATCGCCATCTGATACTTCTTGAGAGCTATATGCGTATTAACCCATTCAATCTTCAAGAAACCATATAAAGTAGGTACTATCAATATTCTCACTTTCATATAAGGAAAACAAAGGTCAGAAAGTTTAGTATCTTGGCCATATAACACACAGCAATTGAGAGGTGGAACCAGAATTCAGGTCCAGGCAGTCGGGCTCTAGAGCACCCACTTTTAACACCATTAGAACCTACTGCCTCAACTCCACTTGCTTTGATACCCGGTATATCAGAAGTGTCAACAATGCATATTCATTGCCTGTGCAAGCTGATCTCTCAGATTAACCCTGAATGTTTGCCTTTTACTCTGTGGGACAGCATCCTTACTGATAGTGTATGTGGCTCTTTCACATACCTCCACAAAAAGAAGCCATTATAACTTGGCAGCAGATCCATCAAGCCCAAGACCCACCATGTCAACTATGCAAATTTTCTTCCAAAGAGACTTCATTAAAATGCATCCTTGCCAAAGAAGTCCATAAACTAGTGAATAAAAGAATACTGGGCACACCACTTCTGGAAGCCTGCCCATTTCTGGAAGCCTGCCCATTTCTGCTCTGTGGGCTTAGCTTCTGCCACCTGTATCCCTTTTGGCATCTCTGCCCCTTGTCACTATCCCGGGCTCCTCACTGCACAATTCTTGACAACTTAGCTCCTCCTTAGGGGGATATATATTCACAGTCCATGGGCTGTCACATCTAGAGGTCTGGCAAGTTATCTTTTCTCTCACTCTCAAATTCTCCCCAGGACTGCAGAAGACCCAGCAGCCTGAGGCATTTGGTAGCATGTGTGTGATCCTTCTGAGATCAATTCAGAGCCCAAACTATCCAAATTGACAGGATATATCTTTCCCAGATTCACAAAACTATGCCTCCATTCTCTTTGGCTACATACACCTGTCCGTTGAACTATTTCCACCCAGATGCAACTTGATTATTCACATAGTAAAGTTTTTAATATGTGAATATTCATCATCTACAATTTAATATTTTCAAATAACCAAGGCAGTTTTATGACATAGGCTCCAACTTAGAGCATGCATGAGTTACTGTAACAAAGGTATAAAGGAATCCAATGATCAAATAACAAATTAACTTACTCTTATATAACATCATATGGGACAATTCAAAATTACCTTATAGGGAATTATTTTGTTCCAGCCTTTCAACCCTTTTAATGACTACCTGAAATCCCATTAATTAGAACTATATTTCCTGTCTCTGTGAAGATACTGAGTGATTCTCATTACGTTCCTCAAAATAAAATTGTTTCTGATGCTCTACAAATAGCAATCCATGACTGCTTAAAGGAGACTTTTAATTTAACCCTCTAACCTGCGGGAATTTCGGCAAAGAACCAAACAAAATTCTTTGAAACGCCCTCTTACTTTGTGGACTTACTCCATTCCCCTTTCACAAAGGACAAGGATTTGGAAAACTTGCTGGGGAGTCAGGAATAAAGATATTTTTAAATCACATTAAATAAATCAAGAATATATCCTAGTCATGTGTTTGGCACTGGGTGGCAGCATAAAATGGATCTTCAAACAAGGCAGGGAGGGTATGAAGGGGTTCCTGGGCCTGCAGCCCACTCCTCTACATTCCATCTTTCCACCCTCAGTGTGCTAGCTCAGAGCAAGCTCCCCACCTAAATGGATGCAGTCTCTAAAAATACATACATATCATTATTTAAAAGTCTTTCATACCTTTCAATTTTTAATATACTAGAAATCATGAAAATCAAACTGAACAGAGTTAAAATATCCTAGTGTCTTAGTCCGTTTTGTTGCTATAACAGAATACCTGACTCTGGGTAACTTGTAGAAAATATAAGTTTATTTGGCTCACAGTTCTGGAGGCTTA